TGCCCATCAATAGATGGGTCAGTCCATTGCTCAGCTCTAATGGCATTATGCGGCATGCCTGACCAGCCGAATTAAGACTTTTTTTTGGAGATTGCATAAACGACTTATCATAAAGAGATTCCCTATACATACCATCCCCCAAAAAAAAGAGATTCCTTGTTGATTAAATCATATATTTAGTCATAAATGATTGGTATTCAATTCTTTCTTTTACACTTTGTTTGGATTGGAGAAGTTAGAGAGAAAAGAGAGGAGAATGAGGGGAAGAGATCACCATCATTTGTTTGAATAAAAAATTTTAATGGAGATGGGATATAGAGATGGAGAGAGATAGAATCCCCTCCCTTCTTTTATTTTTAATTCTTTTCATTTGAAAGAATTGGAATAGATTACATTATTTAACTTATTTATGTTTTTAACTTTTTTTAAAAAATAAATATATAAACATTTTATTTTAATTATTTATTTAATTATTAAATTTAAAAAATTTTATTATTGTTTATTTTACTTTTTGTTAAATTATTTAATTAAATAAAAACATTATCCTTCCCCTCCTTCACTTTTATCTATTTAAACAAAACTAATATCAAATCTTTTTTTTTTTCCCTTTTCCTCCCTTTCCTTCCCCTTTCCCCCATTCCTTTCCTTTACTAATTTTTATCCAAACATAGGCTTATAGTTTTAAGATCAAACCATTTTTTTTGGTTCATAAAAAAAAATTATCATACCATTTTTTGACCTTTTGTAACTAATCATCCATTGCATTATTGATTTTTATTAATCCCTTTTTTTTTTTTTTCATGTATCTACACAATTTCAGACCCGTGAGGAATTTTTCTTGCCGACAGACAGACGCGTGAGTTTGGTTAATCATTCTTCAACTATGAATTTTCAAATAAAGAAAACAGACCAATGTCAAATTTATTGTCCAAATTCTTGCACCAGAGTTCACAAGAAATACTTTAAGATTCTGTCAGGTAAAAAAGCCATTGAAGATTCAGAAGTCCACCTAAAAATTGTATGTATCCTTTCAAATTTTGCAAATGAAAAATTGAATGGGAAAATAAAAGCATACCCTTTTTGTTCCATTAACAGTTAAAGTATAAGAAAGACAAACATTTATAATTCAACACACTGCACCTACATTTATCTGTCTCATGCCAATACCCTGTATAACCCTATATACCTAGTACTTCGTTCTGCTTTTTATATAAATATAAAAGCATTTCCAGAAACAAATTTATTCCAACACCAACAGTACAGAAACAAACAAACCCTTCAAATCTTGGAGGCTTTGGACGCTCAACTACTCTTGCTCTTTGTCTTGGAAAGTTGGACGCATCGCAAGAAACGCCCTAATTATAAATGTATAAAATTTGACCTCAACACTCAGGTGTTAAGGTGTGGTCCCTTTTGGGGTCTTGGCAATAATCATAGACCAAGTAATTTCTCTGCACCCATTGCATGGTAGCGACTTGTTGTTGGCTGAGGCCACCGGTGGGAGAAGGTGAGGCAGAGGGCGGTCGGCAGGAGCCAGGTCCATCGGCAGTGCAGCCTACTAGTTTGAAATCTTTATATCTACCAACGAAGGGTTGGTATCTGTAATCAGCTTTGTATTTTCCGTCCTCTGTGGCCCATGATGATGCATCCCATATTGACCCATAGACCCACATAGGCCTCAGAGGAAATGTTGCATCGCTCTTTCTAGGATACCTCCTAATTGGCAAATCGTCCACAAAGAATCTGTCCATTAAACCATTTAAAAAAAAAAAAAATCAATCAATCAATCAAATTTCCTTTTCTTTTAAATCACAAAATAAATAAATAAATAAATAAATATTGGACCTGATATGGCTGCATGGATGTGCAGCTGTTACTTACATGATCTCATTTGGGTTCCAAAGAAGGGCATAGTTATGGTAGTCTTGTGTTGGATCGAACCATAGATGAAACTTCATTTCCCTTCCAATAAGGTTTCCATCCCCACTTCCTCTAATGTACACATTTGTCTGAAGAGTATAGGGCTTATCAGGGGTTGTTCCCAGGAACTCTAGATCAATTTCATCATGGTTCCCTGGATGGTCTTGATTATTTGAGAGCTGCCATTATCCAATGCCAAAACAGGAAATTGAAGTCATCAGTTTTTAACATTTGAAAGAAGTGTGCGCTAAGTATTATGATTCTCACATAGAAAGATGTAATGACTCCTGCAGTGTAACCAGGTTGGAGTTTGATGGCAGCACCGAGGTAACCTGACTGATATGGATGAAGTGACTTGAATCCACTACCTGTTTGAATAAATGCAAAAGAATACAATCTGAGTGACCCACCAAGGGAAGAATTAGGAGGAAACAAAGTGCTGCAAAGATAAGAAGAGAAACAACATGTAGGACACATGATGACCTGAGGATTTGTCAAGCCAGATTGTTAATGAGCCCTGGTCTACACTCTGATGCTGAGGACCCCAGAGGTTGCTAAACCCTTGATCAAAGCTCAGAGATGGAAATCTGGAGCCAGGGTAGTATCCAGGGGAAGGTGGACCTTGAGCAAAACTGCACGAGGAAAACATGAGATTGAGAAGAAGAATTGAAATGGGAACTATCAAGTGGAGTTGAGAAGCCATGGTAGTGAAACAAAAAGGGCTTGTGCCCAATTAGGACTTTAGTCCCAAAAATTGAAGGCAGGTATGAGTGTGGCAGAGTATGGGTAATCATTTGGTATAAATAAGGGGGTTAGAGGTCCCGCAGAAGAGGTGAGATGATAAGTTAGTTGATGGGAGTTATAGAAGAAGACAAAAGATGGAATGGTTATGATCAATTTGGCTAAGATTGTTCCAATTATAACTTTTTACTTTTGGTCGTCTACTTTGGAAAGCAAAGAAGAGGATTTGAGAGAGAAAAACAATTAATACAGGATATTACTTCGTGACTCTAGCCGGCTAGCATGTATATATTATGTGCTATTGTTGTCCCCAATGCCACATCTAAGTTAAGGTAAACTTCATGCCATGATCAAAGAAAAATTGGATATATTTTCATAACTTGCACCGGAATACAATCTCCATCTGCAAATTGTTTCAATACTCTTGGTGATAGTTACAACTTATGGGAAAATTTCTTCGCAATGGTCCATTAGACTTTTTATTCAAATTAAGTGAACATTGAATTTTAAATTTTATGTAAGTAAGATTACTTTACCTAAATTCTTTGTAACTGTAATACGATCTTCTAGAAGGTTCATATATAATACCCTTTTGGGCCAAATAATTAAAATATTAAATACTAATTAATTTTAATTAAATAAAAAACAATGTTAAAACTCTCTATCTGATCTTTTATTATTTTGGTTAATGAGTTTTATTTTAATAGCTAAACCTAATTCAAAAATTCAATTTTGATTACTAAAATTTTGATTTTTTTTTAAAAAAATGTGGTTCATTCAATTAATAAATTTCTTTCAATCTTTTTAAGCAAAAAAAATCTTGTATCATTAACCAAAGTAAAATATTTAAATTAATTAAATTTTAAATGAATTAATAAAAAATTATTTTAAATATCAAGTAATTTGAAATTGAAGAAAATATGTTTGCTTCTAATGATGAACACAGTATTAAGAAAAATGTGTAGAGAGAGTTTTGATTGTTAATTTTTAATTTTATGGTAATTTATTTAATTAATATTAATAAAAATTTAATATTTTGATCATTACATCTAAAAAAGGTATTATAGATATTATAAATTTTTTTAATACACTTATAATAAATTTTGTTAAAGTATTTTCACTTATATAGAATTTCAAACTGAGGTCTCACTAAATAATGAAGAAAAATCGGATGGACGAATTATAAAGAAATTTTCCCATTACATATTAGGCAACATCACTCCATAGACTTTTTTTTTTTGCACATATTAGTTTCTTAGTCCAAGAAAACTAAGCTGATAGTTCGTTATGTTTTATGAATTCTCCAAGGGAGAAGCAGGTACCAACATTTGGATTGAAGTTACGTGAATTCAAACTTAGTTCAACTACTTGTGAATGTCAATGAATATCTGCCTTGGTACATTTTTATATCTTTGACTTCTACATGCTCTTTATATTTGGCAACTTCCTTCCCCAAGAAGCACTGCTGCCTTTTCTGCTCTTCTGTGTGCAGTACTTTAAACAAATAAACTGGACCTACCTCCAACTATATAATTTCAAGTTTGACAAAGTAGACCATTAAAGTATATAGTATTATGCTAAATTGCTAATGCTGATTAACTTTATCATTACAGACAAGCTCCCAAGAACGTAATTTCGGGGTGATTTTGTCCTCAAAGCTGGAATGATGCAACCTGAAAAGATGGGGCGGTTGCTGCTTGGTCGGAAACTATGGTTGCTTGGAAGGATGAACAAAAGATATATAATTTGAGAAATCTTATAAAATTTCTCAGTCTAATGAGACAATCAACATGATTAAACATATTTTTAATTTTAGGATAGTTGCAGTACAATCTAAACATGGGGCTGTAATTAAGCTGAATGTTGCTCAACCATGTCCATGGTGTTCAATTTGAGCCTACAATATAATGTTACGTCAATTTTAATTGTTTTAATTTGTTTGGTAACGATCAATTTATTATTATTATTATTATTATTTTAATTATAGTTTGATAAAATATCAATTCAGACATCAATTTTGGATGCCAACATCTTTCAAAAATCATGTTTTTTATACACGTATGTGTACTTTTATTGCATGAGAGACTGCTTTTTCTTCTTGCAGACGGTGATGCTGTCTAGGCAAGGCCCAGCTGATTGAATGCATGCAAGGGGGGGGGGCCCTCATTATGACAACTCAAGGGTGTTGTATCATCAAATGAAGGTACTCGCCAGCACATTTTTCTCATAATTGCTTCTAATATTATATCTCTTGCATAGAGATTGAGGTTTCGTATAAATCATTGATAATAATTGCTAAAAAAAAAAAAGAAAGAAAAGAAAAAAAGAGGAAGCACTCTCCTGCACATCTTTAAACAATACTATGGATAAATTAAGTGCGAAAGATTTGCCTTTGAACAATGGATAGATAATTTGTGCAATAGACGGCAATCCAATTAATTGTTTTTTTAATGCTGGTTTTATTGAGAAGATCTCTGTGACAATTAATAACAAGATATGCAACCAGCCAGCCCTGCTGAGACCTAAGATCATCCTGATTTGGGTTTTTCATTTCTAATAACAGAGACAAGGAAGAAAATGCTAAAAACAGACATATTTGTTTGAGTAATTTAAGATCTTAAAGATTGATTTACTATGAGGCTGTAGAGGTTTATGATCATTAGCAAGTATTATGACCCCCTCATAAATATCAATACATTAGATGAAAATCTAAAAGGCAAATCCACTTGAAATGTCATATTAATTATTAAGAGGATTGGATTTATTAACACATAACACTTGATCTTGAATCCCAACAACTATTTCTTTCATGCTATCCTTTATCAAGAAAGCATGATATTTTCTTTTGGAGAAATGACAGGTATTTGGGTTCATGAAGTTATATTATTCTCACTCTTTCACTCTAATAGCATTTTTCTTTTTGCTAGAAGCACACCAACTGCTTGGAATCTTCTGTTCTTGCAATGAGTAGAAGTAGCTGATGTAGTGGGTGTCATAGATTGATGCCCCAAACAAAACAACTGGATAGACAAGATAAGAATGTTTGGTCACATTATACATGATTTTAATTTGGAGATGAAGTAGTTTCTTGGTTGGCCTTTTTTTTTTATTTTAGATTGTTCAGTTGAAGTCAATTTTCTCATATCTTTTAATTTACTCCATCTATACTATATGATTTGAATTCGTTATCTTTTACTTTTTACTGAGAAAGATCAATACTAAACTATTTAAGTTGTTGGTTAGTTGGTTGCTTGTTTATAGATTGTTCTTTAAGTATTATTTACACAATCATCAATTATTATATTTATCCTTTAATTATTTTAGTATATTTATTATGAATTAGTAAGAAAATAATCATATATATATGTATCCCCATTTATATTATCAAAAAAAAAAATCATTTACCAAAAAAAAAAATCAAATGAATATATGATGATTCTTCTGTGAAATGGGCCAAGACATTTTCCTTCAGTATTGGGCTTCGTCCTTGATCATCACCAGTGGGCAAAGAAATATCTATTTTGGATTGGGCCAACCAATGACCCTAAAAAAAAAATTATGCTATAATTTTAAGGAACAAAAAGAAAAAGGAAAAGGTGAAGAAGGTAGCACTATCTTTTTCATCTTCATCTTCTCTATCTTGACTGCAGAAAAAGCCACAATCGTTCTGTGCAGAAGGACATATCCTTTTTTTTTTTTTTTTTAATTGGAATCCACCCGATAGATCAAGAAGGTAAAAAAAAAAATGGAGAAAATGAAGAGCATAATAAAGCCAAAACCAAATCCGCAACAGCAGTTGAGAGATTGGCAGCGTAGGCTCCGCCAGGAGTGTCGCAACATCGAGCGTCAAATCCGAGGCAAGTAAATTTTTTTTTCTTTCTTTGCTTATTTATTGATCTTGCAATCTTGGGGAATGGATTTAATGGTTCTATGAAAGTGACGGAAATTTTGGATTTTGGATTGATGGGTATGTTTAATTTTGATTCTTTTGATAAATGGGTAAGATATCCAGAGAGAAGAGAAGAATGTACAGAAAGCTATTAGAGAAGCAGCCAAGCGAAATGACATGGGCTCTGCTAAGGTACTTGCACAATCTTCTGCTTGATTTCTTTTAAATTTTTGATGATGGACCTCTGTTGAATTTTCATTGTTTCTCTTTGATCATGAATTTTTCATTTTTTAGATTTACTTACAAGTGTTGTATTTTGGGGTTAATGTTGAAGTTCTAATCTTTGGCAACAAAATTGATTTGTCTGAAAGTTGACTTAAGTCTGACCGGGAATGTTCCATACTCGCTTTTGATTTACATGCTCCTGTTTGAATAAAATCGTCAAATCCTACTTCAATCCTGAGAATTGAGATACTTGTGAATAATGTGCTGCTGAACTCTGAATTGTATTCAGTGGGGATTCTGGCATTTGTTTTATTTTATCTTTATACACCAGTCCTAGTGTTTTATATATCTCAAGAATGCATTTTTCCAGTTAATCGAGTTATCTATTTCAGGCACTTGCTAAGGAAATTGTCAGGTCTAGAAGAACGGTGAATCGTCTTTATGAAAATAAGGCACAACTGAATTCAATATCGATGCATCTTGGGGAAAGTGTGGGTGCGTTGCTTCACTTGCCATGGAATATACTGTGGTTTTGCCTATATGCATCTATTGTTTATGAGAAATTCTTACTTAGAATAGCTATATGTTCAATCAGGAAGCTGAACTAATGTCAGATGACTTGCGTGATAAGCAATGTCAAAATTTCTAAATGTTTTTTGAAGGAAACAATACCCAACATTTTGTTTCTCTAGTTGGCAGACAATAGATGAGCAAATATTTACTGTCAAGATAAATCACTCCCATAGCAACCCTGGCTGCTAGATGGCCTATGGAGTTATTGATGGCAGGTTCACTAGGAGGATAGTAATCAATTAGCACGGTTCTCTTTTATGTTCTGTTATTTATTTATTTATTTTCTTACATCCATACTTGTAATTTCTTTCCTGTGCTGCACTCTCTTCAGCTTGCTCAAATATCTTGGTTCCTTCAGATTGATTCTGTTACTTGATTTGAACTTGGAAAAAAATGCAGCCATTGCTCGTACAGTTGGGCATCTGTCCAAGAGTGCTGAGGTTATGAAGCTTGTCAATAACCTTATGAAGGCTCCAGAAGTTGCTGCTACAATGCAAGAATTCAGCAAAGAGATGACCAAGGTATCTTTATGAATTATGACTCATGTTTCTATCTCCAGCAATGACGAATGAGGCAAAGAGTGAAAAATATGATGATCTGTCAACATCTTGTTTTGACAATCACTTGTTGCTTGTAATTTATAGGCAGGGGTTATTGAAGAGATGGTCAATGATTCGGTTGACGCTGCACTTGACTCTGAAGATATAGAAGAAGAGACTGAAGAGGAAGTTGATAAGGTGTTGACTGCATTAGCTGGTGAAACTGCAGCGCAGCTTCCAGAAGCAGTCAGGAAGGAAAAGCTCAAGCAGCCTGTTCAGACAGCAGGAGCTTCGATAGAGGTATTTCTACAAACATGTGTTTAAAATTTGTTCCCATTTTGGTTTTTAAAGGGAGTTGGATACTGAAGTGCCAATTGTGACTCAACAGGAAGAAGCTATTGCTGAGGGAGTTGATGATGAGGAAGAACTAGAAGAAATAAGAGCCCGACTTGCCAAAGTCAGGTCATAAATCAACCATTCTGTCACTGCATTTTCCTTGTTTTTCAGATAAAAGGGAGGGTGTTCCCATTCAGCTTCTTGGTGGGATTGAGATTGTTGTGTATAACATCCAATTTTAACATTGGGAATGAGTACGTGCATGAGTGTTCACGTGTACTAATTAGCAGAAGCAACAGTTTTATTAATCAGATAGTGTTATGGATTGTAATTTGTGTAATAATCACTGGATCTTAGTGAAAAGCAATGCGTTGGGCTACATGTTCATTGTTTAGTGAACATCTGTGTTATATTGAAATTGGCATAGTTGAAGGTGGAACTGTTATTGAATTGTTGGTGTTTGATAATCTTATATTCTCTAGCACAAATAGCACGAACCCTGTTATGCAGACGCATCATCATCTTGTTCAGTTTGTTGTTTGTTGTGTGTAACCATCTTTGGGTGGGTAGGTGAGATACTCCCCCAGAAATGATGCAGAAAAGCTGATTTGAAGATAATAGTTGATAAGATGCATTTTATATGCTTTAATTTCTTATTTGAACTTCGATTTTACTGATATGTGGAAGGGTAGAATGTAATTTTTTTATAGATTTTACATAATTTTTAGTTTTTGTGCGGAAAAGAATTTGAATATATAATAAAAGAAGCTTTGGGACTAAAGTGAGAATCTTTTGAAAGTCGAAGGATTATATTGCAAAAGAAAAGTTGCAAACACAAACAAGGACTTAATTGAATAATCCAAATTTTAGGATCAAAGTGCTCGTAAAATAGAATATAAAGGATCAGATTTGAATTTTACCATTGAAGAAATTACTAAATTGAAAAAAAAAAAAAAAAAACCCCCGACGCGGGCTGGGAGTTGACGCCGCTTTGATAGGTATCGATACCATGCGTTAAAACGCTTGGGGTGGGAAGGAAGCCTACTAAAAATTAACTTGGCTTGATTTAAGAAATTAAAGTTTTCGACATAAAAATTAAGATAAAATATAATTAATTATAATAAAAATATAAGTAATTACATTGAGTATATAGTTAATTAAAAAAAATATAATTGATTATAAAAATATAATCAATTATTTCTAAAATATATTTGATTACCTCACTTTTCAACTAAAAATGTTTTAGAAGAAAAGACTTTTAGGAAATTCCAATATAATCACTTATATTTTCATTATATTCAATTATACTTTACTTTGATTTTTGTGCCAAGAACTTTAATTTTCCCATTAAACTAACTCGATTTTTAGTCAACTTCTTTAAATTTTCATTTTTTAAAGAAATTTCAACTAAATAAACTTTAGACTATACTTGTCAATGAAATTTGAAGTGGTGCCAATTCCTATATTATGGTGTCCACACTCTTAGCAGTTTTCGACAATTTTATATAAAAGTTTATATTTTTGATATGGGTCATATTTCTTTTCTAATAAAGTGTTTTTAAACTCTATATAAGTCAATAAATTTCGATGTCAAATATAAAATAAATGCCTCAAAAATGTATTAATTGAAATCGATATATATTTATTGTGGTAAAATAGAATACCTTGAAATTTCGAATTATATAATATCATTTAAATCAATTTATCTATATTTATTAATTTATATCTATATCTATCCATATATTATATAAAATGCTCCTCTATGCATTAATATTATATAATATAGTATAGTATTTAATAGTTTTCATTTTCTCATTAGTGTTTTTCTAATTAATTAACTGTTTCTCTTCACTTATATATTATTTTTTATGGTACACTTATATAGTATTATATTTTATGTAAATGCATAGGATAATATTTTATAAATAAATA